ATGCAAACCATTGGTTCGACCCAACTTTATTTAACCTTTCTTACTATTTTTTTTAACCTTTTGAACAATATTCAAAACTGTGGTGTACATATGAATGTAATTTTTCAAATAAAGAAAAGGTTTAGGCAAAAGCAAAATAATCATTTTTTTCAAATATATGTATGTACATATGAGTGTATTAGAATTTAGCATTTTACAGTTTTTCGCTTGGAACAACAAAAATAAAATTTTAAGTACATACGTACATAAATTCTCTATGTATATTTTTTTGAAGCTTGCTGACGAAACATAATATTCAAAACAATAACAAATGAAGCATTAATATTCAGATGCCACAATACATCTGATGTCTTTGATAAAAGCTGACATTTATTTACGTTGAGATTATTTCGATTTTTCAAACCAAATATATGTGAGATCATTATATTTTCAAATATTATTTATTTCTCGGTTTGTGTTTCTAATAATAACCTAAAACGTATCATTTATTTCTTGGTTTGTGTTTCTACTCGTAATTATATAAAGTATAAAAGAAAAACGTGCCTTTGTTATACAAAAATTTTTTCAGAAAATCTTAAAATAGAGCTATTTCGGGGCTAAAAAGTTCCAATGTAAGATTTTTCTGGGACCCTAGAGACAAAACACAATGTCCCTAGTCCTTCTAGAAGTATCCGTAGTTTCTGACACCTGAGAATTTGCTATATATGTATAATGAAAATATATTTTACCGATTCAAAGTACTTTTTTGTCTACGAAATGTCGCCTAAATATATACAAGATATTAGTTTTCAAATTATTTTTATAGATCATTCTGAATATTGCATACTTATAGTATTGTGTGTAATTTTGGATTTGTTTTGTCATATACAACGTTTGAAAAAATAAGTACAAAAAGAACATTTTCACAAAATTTTTACAAAAATAATTAGTAATTTTTCTACGTTTCAGTCGTAATTACTTTAAACTTAGTTGAAAAATAAAAAAAAAAAATGACAAAAAAAGTGGCAAGCAATTTTTTTTATTTATGTTAAAATTGATAAGAATACGTATTCACGTAATCTTGATGATTAACTTTTTATCTTGATTTCATAGCAATCAACTTTTCAATGTTTTTGAAATGTATAATAGCAATTGTTTATAACAAATATAGTCACGTTGTTACCGACCGTATTGTGTAAACAATAGGTAGGTTATGTGATGGCAACAAATTTTGCATGTCGAGTTTTCGGTGGGAACGTACTTCTCCATAGTAGGGAAGTGTAAATACACTATTTTTAGCAATCTGTCGGTCTGTCGGTCTGTCGGTCTGTGTGTGCACGCGTGTATCTCAAGTTCGGCTGAACCGATTTTGATGAAATTTTATATGTAAGTTTGTTTCCACCATGGCACGGATTGATCAACTTTTGGTATATATCAGGCCTTGGGAACTGCACTTTTTAGCGGGCCTGTTTTACATTTTTGAAGATTTTGAAGAAAATATTCAACCGATTTACTTGAAATTTTATATATAAGCTCAGCACGACCGTCCGCAAAAATTCGTATGTTTTGGAAGAAATTAGGCATCGGCAACTAGACGTTTACTACGGGCCAAATATACATTTTTGTGTATATAAAGAGAAATAATCAACCAATTTCATTGAAATTTAATATATGAACTCCTCGTTTTAAAACAATGAACATATAAATTTTTTGGAAAGATCAGGGCTCGAAAACGGATTTGCGGGCCGATTTTACATTTTTCACCATTTTGAAGAAAGTATTCAACCGATTTACTTGAAATTTCATATATAAGCTTCGCTTGATTATACGCAAAAGTTCCTAACTTTTGGAAAGATCAGGCATCGGCAACTAGACGTTTACTACGGGCCAAACATACACTTTTGTGTATATAAAGAGAAATAATCAACCGATTTCATTGAAATTTAATATATGAATTCCTCATATTAAAGCAATGAACATGTAACTTTTTTGGAAAGATCAGGGCTCGAGAACTGATTTGCGGGCCGATTTTACATTTTTCACCATATCCACAGAACAAATTGATGGAATTTCTTGACATTTGATATTTGAGTTCTGGTTGTTACCGAAACTAACTGGCGAGCATTTCAGGGAATTCGGGTAGCACAAAGCGAAACTCTACTAAGAGCCAAATTTACATTTTTCTAAGTTTGTTAACTATAATATAGTTATATATAATAAAGCTAAAAGAGATACAATGCATAGCAATTTCGCCAATAATTAAATTTTGATATATGAATGTTGTAATAAAGATATAAAAATAGCTCTTTTGGCAATAGTGCTATTCATTTTTCAAAATAAAGTGTAGCTGAATAAAAAATGGTTTGATGGACACAAATTTGTCGGTATTCAAATTAAAACATTAGCAAATGAGAAGGAATTTGTTTGTAATGTGCCATGAAAATGATACTAAACTTGTTGAAATTACAATACGTACATATGTATATTCAAATATTAGCAATAACATAGTTTTGAATTAGATTTAATAATCTTCGCTTTCGACATATTTTATGGAGAAAATACAAGTCACAATTTACAAGTTACAAGTTGGTTACCTAATAATATAAATATATGTATATGTATACATATACGTATGTTTATATTTATATCATAATATATGAAAACTTAAATGAAGTACCAGCTACCAAGTAAATATTAATTATCACAAAAAGGTAATTTTAAATATTGCAAAGAGCTACTTACATATCACTTTTTATACTAAAATGTATGTTACATTAATATTATAAAGTAATATTAATGTGGAAACTTATAACTTTAATAAAATATGAAATAAAGTGTACACTTTTATATTTAAAAACGACATTTTTGTAGCCTCCTCATAAAATTTTTTTATTCAATTATATACGTTATTTTCATAAACGGCTCAAAAATATAACTAATTTAAAAACAATATATTCCTAAAACTGCTTTGAATTATATTCAAAATAAAAATAAAGTGGTAGGAAATATATTTATTTCTAAATTAGCTATAATCTGTTCTGTTTATAAAATACATCTAATTGAGATAAAATTTTTCCCAGTGTGCATACGAAAAACACACATGTGCGATATACACATGTTATTCACTCATGCCATTTTCGCATACATATGTCATTTACACAAGTAAATTTGCCAATAATATTGTTCTTTTTACCGACCGTATTGTGTATACAATAGGTAGGTTATGTGATGGCAACAAATTTTGCATATCGAGTTTTCGGTGGGAATGCATTTCTCCATAGTAGGGAAGTGTAAATAAACTATTTTTAGCAACCTGTCGGTCTGTCGCTCTGTCGGTCTGTGTGTGCACGCGTGTATCTCAAGTTCGTCTGAACCGATTTTGATGAAATTTTATATGTAAGTTTATTTGCACCATGGCACGAATTGATCAACTTTTGTGATATATCAGGCCTTGGGAACTGCACTTTTTAGCGGGCCTGTTTTACTTGAAATTTCATATATAAGCTTTGCTCGACCGTCCGCAAAAATTTCTATATTTTGGAAGAAGCCAGGCTTCGGCAACTAGGCGTTTACTACGGGCCAAATATACATTTTTGTGTATATAAAAAGAAATAATCAACCGATTTCGTTGAAATTTAATATTTAAATTCTTCGTATTGAAACAATGAACATATAAATTTTTTGCAAAGATCAGGGCTCGAAAACTAATCCGCGGGCCGATTTTAAATTTTTCACCATATCTACGGAACGAATTGATGGAATTTCTTGAAATTTGATATTTGAGTTCTGGTTGTTACCGAAACTAACTGGTGAGCATTTCAGGGAATTCGGGTAGCACAAAGCCTATTAAGAGCCAAATTTACATTTTTCTAGGTACATATGTTAACTATAAGCTTACTAATGTCCTAAAAATTGAAAAGAAGTATTTAACAGACATTTTTATAATATTATGTATTCATTTTTATAATATTCTAATATAACATCAGGTTTTTTTTAATTTCATTTCTTTTTATTTTTTGCAAAATAAATATTCTACTTTGTACTTTCATTTTCATTGGTTTTCAAATTATCCATTAGAAGAAACTGCACATGGTAATTTAAAATTAAGAGATAAAAATAAAAAAAAAAATAATAATTATTAGAAGAAATTTATTTTAAGAAAGTTTAAACATCATTTTCTTTTAATACTATTTTAGTTTTAAAATTTTTCTTAAAATCATCTAAGCATTTATATTCCTAATGAACATGCTTATTTAAAGGTTTAAGTGGTCACTTCAAAAGCATAATTTTACATATTATATTCATGGAAAATTTATAATTTATAAATAAAATATTGTTTCAGTATTTGTTCAATAAATAAATGTAACTGGAAATTAATAGGTATTCAAAAACAAAATTTGTATTCATAGAAAATTTATTAATTTAATATGTTATTTTGCAATTAGTATTAAAATTTAAACTTTAACTTAATTATATATATTTGATATTAATTTATTAATGTAAAAAATTTAATGTTTTTAACTAGTTATATACCAAATATCACAAAATACTGAATAGTGCTTTACGATAATTCCACAAGTTTCCTAACATGGTTATTTGTCGAAATCTAAATAAAGTAAGATAGCGAACAAGTGGGCATTTGAATTTTGTTTACAAAACAAAAATGTGTTTTAAATACATATAAATGTATACGAATATACACATGTGTGCATAAACACATCAACGGTTATATTATTAAAAATTATAAGCAATTATAAAATCTATTAATGTTTCTATTAAACATGTGTTCGTGTATTGTTGTTCACAAGTATATGTATAAATATTTAAATCAAATATTATAAATTTCTTTTGAAGATAAGATAATTGCACCGCACCACCGCTACAAAAACTCTTACATATACTCATAAAATTGGTAGCAAAATGTAAAACAAAATTTTGAGAGTTCTCTTTCAGAATTCCTGAAAATTGAAGTATTTCGTAGAGTTCAAATAGAACGCAGAATAAAAATTCAGTCATTATTGAAGCGTTAAATGGATGATATCACTTGCGGAACTTTGCTATGATTAATAACAATACAAAAAAACAATTATTTTATTTGAACAAAAATAAGTTTTTTGTTATAAGTATAATCCAAAAAACTTTATTTTAAGTGAAAAATTTATGCAAATAAAACTAAATAAAAATAAACAAAAAGTGTGAATTTTGTAAACTGCAAATTTTACAGAAAGCATTTGTTGACTTAATCAGATCATTAAAATTTTTTAAATTGAAAAAATAAGAAATTGCTATTAACGTTTATACATATATATATATATATATACATAGAAATAGTGATTAATAATTTGATCTTTTTGTTTTTGAAAGTTGGAAAAAATTTTCTTGAAATAAATAAGAAAATATTGCAAAAATGAATAAATTTGAGAAAAATTCAACTGCACTAAATGAAATTAATGGAGTGAAAAAGTTAGTAACAAAAATTAGAAATTGTATTTTATACAACAATACCTACCGGTATATTCCTGTTTAGGTACCGGTATATTAGATTTTTAATATGTTGCTAATATTAAAATAGTCAATTTAACCATTATTCTCTAATTTTACACAAATTAGTTATAATATTTTCCCTCTGCACTTCGTGAAAGGTATATTCACTTTGGAATTGGTAATTTATGTGGAATTGGTAATTGGACCAATTTGGACAACAGGTTCCGGTAACTGCCATACAACTCAAAGAGTTTTTTTTAAATATTTTAAACACTAGTAGATTCACTAATACTGAAGAAAATTTTAATGGAACAGCTGCACTCGTTCGGGTAGTGTGGGAAAAATAATAAAGATAGATTTATGGAACTCGGCAAACGTTTGTTCAATTTCAGGTCAGAGATATAACCCTGAAGTTTTAGTGAAATGGCTTGACAGTTTTTAAATATTTTAAATTTTAAATATTTGGAAAAATATTAAGGCTAGATTCATGAAACTCGGCGGTCGTATGTCCAATTTCAGGTCAGATATGCTTCTGAAGTTTAGGTGGAATTGCTTGACAGGTTCGGGAGGCTGCCATACAACTCCGAAAGTTAATTTTAAATATTTGGAAAAATATTAAAGCTAGATTCGTGAGACTCAGAAGTCGTATGTCCAATTTTCGGTGAGACATAATATTCGTGAAGTTTTTATTGAGCCGTTTGACAGATACAAGTAATTGCCATTTAGTAATCAAAGTTATTTCTAAATAAAATATTTCAAAAACAAACTTTTAAACTCATTTAAAAAAAACTTCTAAATTCATTCGGTTTATACCGACTGAAACGTTTTTACTTGTTATCTTTCACTTTAGCATTTATTTTAATTAATGCTAGTACTGCTAACTACTCTAATAAAATCGTTTTTACTAGAACACGCACCTGAATATGACATATAATTCATTTGCAAAAACATTAATGATAATATCACTCATGAAACGGTAAATGAGTATTGTGAATATAATTTAGCGAAGCTAACAGATATCTTTTATATCTATTTTTCACTTAATAACCGTTAGTAAAATGTACATATTGCGGATGACATATTTTATTTGCGAAAGTTTAATTTTACTTTTAATGTTTTTAAGTATATATTAGTAACTACACAAACTGTATAATTATATTCAAATGAAATTATTCCTGAAAGTAAAAGGTACTTAGCTATATCTAGCGATCACTAGTGATACCAATTTAACAGTCCAGCCAATCCTAAAATGCACTCTAAAAATGTAATTTGCACTGCAGTGCAATTTAACACTGCACTTTTTTGCATCAGCATTAAAATGTTGACAAAAAGAAATTCTTTAATTCTTAAAATTTTAAATGTAGTTTGAAAATGCTTTTCTTGTTATACACTATGGTTTGCAGAGAAATGATAAATGTTGCAATACCCACGGTTTTACAGAAAATGTAGTAAATAGTATTGGAATACTTAATGCTTATAATTTTGAAAGAGAAAATGACAACGAAGAAATGGATGACATAGTGATGTCAATAACAAACAATTCGAAATAATTAAACTATTCTATAATAGTTATAAACTTTTTTTTAGGATTTCTTTATTTTCATTTTTCAATAAATTTTTCTCTTTACATTAATTTTCATCCCAATTTGAATAATGATACATAATTATGTATGTAGAAGGTCATACACTTCTTTACAAACGACAATTAAATTTTTTTTCATTAAAAATGCAATTTTTTGGAAAACAAGATAGGTAGATAATTTTTTGTACACGTGCATATGCAAGTATATAAAAGTACGTTAGTTATTGGAAGAAAATTCAAAATAAATAAAGTTGGATCTTTAACAATTGTTTTTAAAACCACAATTTTTCGTGCAACAAGTGAAAATAGTGCTTTTAAATACAATTTAGCTATGTACTACATTAGTAAAATTAGCTTCATTCATAAACGAGTGTTTCAAAGATTGCATACATTTAATATGAGCACTGTGTGCAATCTTTTAAAATAAAATAAAAAAGATTTGGAGAGGCGTTAACATATTGCTCAAATTTAAGGGTTAATAGCCGAAGTTAAGAAAAAAAATTATATTTTTTAATGGCATGGAATTTATCGTTAGCTTTCAGCATTTATGGAAATTTGAAAAAGGTTCCAGTTTCGGAAACTTTGGAGGTGCCAAAAATTGAAATTGTACGAATTTCGAGAGTCGATAACTGAGAGTGGGTGAAGATGGAAAAAATTTTATAACCAGGAGTGTAGAAGAAAAACCACATCAAAAATTTGGAAAAAAAGGATTTTAGATATATTTCAATGGCCATATTGTTTTTTTAAAGTTCTAATATGGTACACCGCGATAGATGAAGCAACCCACTGCTTTTCTGCATTTTCAAAGTTTTAAAAGTGCTTATAGTTTCATTGCAATAAATAGTTAAAAAATAATATTTTTGGCGTTTGGGGGGGGGGGGGTATAACTTTTAGAGGGGGCGAGGTTAAAAATTTTCTTTTAGGGAAGTAGGGTTCTAGTAAAGATCTATGTACATATAAAATTTCAACTTTCTATCTTCATGGGTGTAGAAGTTTTGTAATCAGACACACGGACTGACGGACGTCCGTTCTTCACTTTTTTTTTAAATTTTTTGGAAAAGTGCTAAAAAAATTGATTTATACACATACAAACTTATTTTAAAAATTATGTAAAAGAAAATATTTTTAAACAAGTAAAAACGTTTCAGTCGGTATGAACCGATTGAATTATACCCTGCACCTTTCATTGTTGTATAGCAATTATTCAAACCTGTGAAACCATTCTATAGAAACTTCACGGATATGTCTGACCTATAACTGAACACACAACTACCAAGTTTCATGAATCTGACTTTATTATTTTTGCAAATATTTAAAATTAGCTTTTGGAGTTGTATGGCAGGTACCCGAACCTGCCAAGCAATTCCACTAAAACTTCGCTAATATATCTGATCTATAATTGGACACACAACTGCCAAGTTTCATGAATCTAACTTTATTACTTTTCCAAATATAAGCTTTTGGACTTGTATGGGAGCCACTCGAACCTGTCAAGCAATTCCACCAAAACTTCAGAAATATCTTTGAACTATAATTGGACACACAACTGCCAAGTTTCATGAATCTGTCTTTATTATTTTTCCAAATATTTAAAATTAGCTTTTGGAGTTGTATGGCAGGTACCCGAACCTGTCAAGCAATTCCACTAAAATTTCGCAGGTATATCTGATTTATAATTGGACACACAACTGCCAAGTTTCATGAATCTAACTTTTTTATTTTTTCAAATATTTAAAGTAAGCTTTTGGACTTGTATGGGAGCTACTCCAACCTGTCAAGCAATTCCACCAAAACTTCAGAAATATCTTTGACCTATAATTGGACACACAACTGCTAAGTTTCATGAACCTGACTTTATTATTTTTCCAAATATTTTAAATAAGCTTTTGGACTTGTATGGGAGCCACTCGAACCTGTCAAGCAATTCCACCAAAACTTCAGAAATATCTTTAACCTATAATTGGACACACGACTGCCAAGTTTCATGAATCTGACTTTATTATTTTGCCGAATATAAAAAATTTGCTGTTGGAGTTGTATGGCAGCCACCCGAACCGGTGCAGCTATCCCATTATAATTTTTAGAGCATGTGTAGAATATAATTGGACACATGTATACAAAATTTTATATTTATAGCTTTATTAGTTTTTGAAATATTTAAAATAAACTCTTGGAGTTGTATGGCAGCTACCCGAACCCGTTATCCGACTTAGTCCAATAACAATAGGGTTCGTCCTTGGCACAAAAGAAAAAACTTGTGAAAGTTTGGTGTCGATTGCATTATTGGTTTTTGAGTTATCGTGCGATCGGACGGACGGACGGACGGACGGACGGACGGACGGACGGACGGACGGACGGACATGTCTAAATCGACGCAGAATTTTACGCTGAGCAAGAATATATATATATGTCCATACCGCAGATGACTCCTTCAAGTAGTTACAAACTCCATACCAAAGTTAATATACCCTTCACGAAGTGCAGGGTATAAAAATACATATGTATATCTTCAATGAAAGTATGTAAATTTTGTACAATCTATATTTTTATTTTGAATTTTAGTTTTTCACATGGTTTTCTCTTCTCCATGGTAGAGAAATGTAAATAAACTACTTTTAGCAAGATCTAGGTCTGCCGGTGTGTGCGTGCACGCGTTGTTGTATTTTGTATATAAGCTTCCCCCGACAGTACGCGAAACTACTTAACTTTTGAAAGAAATCATATTATAATGTAACGCAATATTTTTCTAAACTTAACAATACAGCTTGCGGTCGGTTATTTGCTAATTACATCAGATTTTTTTGTTCTAATAATTTACAAAAAATTTGTATAGAAAGCAAATCTGTATTTATGCTTATTATAAAATATGAGCAAATATACCTACTAAAATTTTTCTCATCAAACTTTTTAATATCTCCTACATTTTGATTATAATCAATGACATTTAGAAATAAAAAATCTAAACGAAAATTATTTTTTTATATTTTGTGATATAGTTCAATTGGAAATATGAGTCTGAATGTAAAATTGTAAAAATGAACAATAAAAAGATTTTTAAGTCTAATATACAATGTATATTAATATACAAAGTATATAATTTTTGAGTCTAATACTTATACATAAGGTTTTGTAGTTTTTTAACTGTCCGAGAAAAAGCTTTTGTTGTTTATGTCATAATATATCCTTTGTTCTATACACAGAATAGTCGACTAAATTTATCTTAATAAAAATTTATTTTAATAATATTTTATTTTAATTGAAGCAATAATTGCGCAACAAAAAATTAAAGACGATGAACATCAATTTTTTTTGATCGTATTATACATGCATGACATAGGTTAGTCAGAAATGGAATTTACAGATTTATTATAAAACTTAAAGGCTGACAACGATTGAACATTTTATTAATTTAAAAAATTGCACAGTAGAAAAATGTTTCCAGTCGTGAACCACGGTTTTTACAAAATTTATTTTTAAAAAATATTTTTTTTTACATTCAAAGTTTTCTTAATTTTAACACGTGCACTACGAATTTTATGTTTTATTAACTGTGAAATTTTTATTCAAAATTTTCTTTACATTCAAAATTTTCTTAATTTTTATTTTTGCACGTGCAGTACGAATTTTATGTTTTATTAACTGTGAAATTTAAAAATAACGCATTAATATGAAAGCTAGAATTTGAGAAATTGTTCACAGCCATTTATGATGAACCTTTGATCATAAATGCATCAAAATTGCTATGAGTTCTATTGTAGCTATAATACAAACAATTCTTATAAATGTCTTGTAGTTATATAAAATATAATTAATATTTTATAGTTATATAAAATATGGGATATGAGATATGTACATATATACATATGTTTATTTTAAAAAAAGGAAAAATGGAAAATAGTAATTTTTAAAATTTTGATTAATGGAAACATTTTTACTAACAAAAAGTTAAAAAAAAAAGCAGTTAAAGATTTCAATGCGATAAATATATTGTGTCAAATTTTGGTTATGCCAATATCTGCAATCCCAGTAAGAAACTTGTTCCTGATTTCTAAACCCCAATCAAAATTTTGTTTGAATACAATATTATTTGATTGGGTTTGTAATACCATATTATAGAGATCAACCACTACCTAATAGGGTGAATAAATAACAACATACATACGTCTACAAAAAAATGATTTAATCACTATAATAATTATTGGACACAGGATTTGTCAATATTTTTTGTTTGAATTTAATTCAATGATTATCAAAATTTTATTATGTATATATTATTTTGCCTTTATATAATTAGGTAAAAAATTGCATGCTTAGGACAGATTATCAATAAAAGTTTGGTGACCCATTGTTGGTGACATCTCTGTAATTACATATTATTGTAATAACATGTGTTTTGATAATGAATAAATTATTATAAGTTAGCACAAGCAAAAAAAAAATTTTGCTATTACATATTAACTAAAACAGCAAATGTATTTAATAATGGATTCTTAGCGATAATATCTAAAATGTATTGCAAATCATTCTTCGCGAACATATTATTAGCCTAATACGAGTATCAATACTTGTTTGTTGAACATATTATATATTATTTACTTAACATTTTTATACCAGTACGAACGTTCGTAGGGTATACTAAATTTGCCTTACCGTGTGTAACGCTGAGAAATAATGGTCTGAGATACAGAATCAAATGTATGTTTTTGATCAGCATCGAGTTCTGAACGATTTAGCTTTGCCTGTCCATCCGTCCGTCAGTCCGATCATCCATCCTTCTATCCCAACGATGAGTCAAAAACTAATTGATTTAGGTTGACCAAATTTTCTCAAATGATTTATCATAGTTAATGGAAGAACCCTTATTTAACCTGGTTATGACCGTGGTACTAGTTCGGATACCTGACATACAACTTCCAAATCTATTTAGCTATATCTCAGAAACTATAGAAGCTGTGGTATTGAAGTCACACAAACGAATGTATTAGTAGGGTCAAAATGCATAACCTGCTAAATTCTTTACCTGCCATACAATTTCAAAAGTTATTTGGGGTTACCTCAGAAATTATTGGGATTATAACATTGAAATCTCGTGAAAACAAGTGTGTTATTAGGGCTATTATGTGCGATTAAAATGGATCAAATTTCTTGACTCCTTGTGATAGCTGCTACAGTGAATAGTAGTTTGGCCACATCTTAGAAAATATTGAAAAGTACTGAAATTTTGAACACAAAAAGTACACAGTACTGAAATTAATATGGTAATATGGCAACTTAAAGTCAAATTCGTACGGGTATCACAGAGTTGACACAGTCAACTCTAGTTTTTCTCGTTTTTTTTATTTGTAAATGAAATTTACAACTCTTCAATTGAGAACATTTGATTTTAAATTTCATCAACTTGTTTGTTTGACATGTGAAAAGGTTATTAGATAATAATGAGTTAGAATTACGCCAGCTTTGAATTTTTTTATTTGCTTAAAATTAATTAAAAAAGTTCACAATTACATACTTCATCATTTTTTATTTAAAAAAAAAACATGTTGTTTTTTAAATTTTTATTGGCCGAGAAAATAAAATAATTCTATAATAAGCATGTTATTTATTTTAATTTATATAAATTTTTTTTTGTTTGAAAAAGTTATTAAATTACCAACTTTATCTATAAAATAAGCACCCTATTGCATAAATATTGATTAAATAGAATTGGATATATTTTGACTTCTCACACTCTTACTATTTAAAAAACAATATATTTCATTATTTTAATTCCCACATTTTTTTATAATTTTTTTTTTTCACACATGCGAAAATTTTATTTATTTTCAGAGTTGCAGAAATTGAAATACTCATTAATGGAAAGCTGTACAAAGGTGAGCTTATATTCAGTTTGCTAACTGTATAGCAGTTATATTTTTTTAATGATTATGGTCTCTGAATAACACAGTATAACTACGAGTAACTACGTTTTTTACTGACTGTATAAATATTTGTTAATCAATTTCTGATGAACTTGATTGCAAAATAAACACATGCATACATATATACAAATTTATGTGCTATTGCGAATAAATGTGTGTATATTACACATACATATGTATTACAAATACACATATAATTTGTTTAATCTGCTTTATAAAGTAGATTAAACAAATTTAGAGCACATTTTCAAATCGCCGACCGAGTTCTAATCGCTCCACACGGCATTTTTGAAAATTTTGACTTGAGAGTAGGTTTATAGATTTTGACGGGTGCTCTTGCACGTAGCGCAAACCATTTCTTCCTATCTTCCTAGTCTGTAAGATATTCGGTGTCGTTTCCTGCTCCATGAACCACATTTTAAATTTTTTTTGCTTATTTGCTCCATAAACTATTTTTTGTCAATGGAGTAAATTTGGTATGCATGTATAAAAAGCATGATTTCCTTATGTAAATTATGTGTATTTCATAGTTGCAGTAAAATTACCTAAAGTGGCACATATGCATGTTGTTTTTCATGAAAATGGAGCAAAATTTAAAGGTAAAATTTTTGTTTGCTCCAAATACATTTAAAATGTATTAAAAAGTATGGTAAAAAATTTTTATGATTTTTTATCAGATCATTATGTTTATCAGTTTAAACTTCAGCCTTATATCTAAAATCCGCCTTGAAAAAAACGAATATTTCTTATATTAATTTTTTTAGTTTATTCTATTTAGTTTAGTGAAAGTGTTACAGAAGATTATGAAAATGCGTTTTAAACACTTCTTTACAAAGTTTTTAAGGACACTAGAATACTTTTAGTAAACATACCTAGAAAACAGTAAATTTGGCACTTAGGAGAATTTGTTTTGCGCCACCTGAAATCCCTAAAAAATTCACCATTATCAAATTTCAAAAAATTCAATCAGCCCGTTCCTTAGATATGGTAAAAAATGTAAAATCAGCCCCCAGCTTGGTTTCCCACCCCTGATCTTTCAAATTTAGATACCAAATTTCGAGGAAATTGGTTGATATTTTTCTTTATGTACGCAAAAGGTCCGGTTACCGAAGTCCGATATAACTCAAAAGTTAATAAATCGGTGCCATACCGACAAACCGACCGACACACGGACCGATATCTCATCAAAAAGTAGTTTGTTTACGCCTCTCTAACTTGTACGTAGTTTGTTTACGCACTTGGGGAAGTGCCTTCCCGCCGAAAACTTTGGTGCCATCACATAACCTACCAATACAATATAAAAAGTTATAAAAATTTACCATGTTTCGATATATTTTAGTTCCTAACAAAATTGTACCAAATTTGAGTTTATTTATTCATAAAGCGTAAATAAAATTATTTCAAATTACAAATGGTATTTTAAAATAAAATTTATAATGTTGCTGGAATTTATCAGAAATATGAGTCTCGGGGATTTCCCCGAGATTATATTTAATATTTATTCTAGGCAAGAAATTAGGGAAACAATAGATATTTTATGTAGGTGCATTATCACCACAATCAATGTTGCTTACTACATTTACTCAAAATCCCGTCATAAATAAATAACACATTACTAACAGTTTTAACTGCAACTATAATTTTTTTTGTTTTAACTAGTAAATCCTAATTTCGTACCGATCAATACAAGTTTAAATACGTTCATAAGAAATCATGCTAATTTACCTGGCACAAAGTTTATGTGCTTAGAAGGTGGATGTGGTGCATGTATTGTCACAGCATACGGAGAACACCCAGTTACAAAGAAATCCAAATCATGGGCAATTAATTCTGTAAGATAAGTTTTCATTCTTTGCTGATTTGTAAAATTCTTCAATATTAAAAACCTTTTTACATTAACAGTGTTTGACTTTAGTATATGCATGTCATGGTCTTCAAATAATAACGATAGAGGGAATTGGTAATAGAAAAGATGGATACAATCCTATCCAAAAACGTTTAGCCGATTTTCACGGAACTCAATGCGGCTATTGTTCACCTGGTATGGTAATGAATATGTACAGTCTTTATCAAGCAAATGATGGTAAACTAACCATGGAAGAAATCGAAAATTCTTTTGGTGGAAATATATGCCGTTGTACTGGATACAGACCGATTCTAGATGCATTCAAATCGTTCGCTGTAGATGCAGGAGATAAATATACACAAATGTGTAGAGATATGGGAAGTGATATTGAAGGTAATAAACGTCTTTGAAATTTTAATAAAATTACATATATGAAGAAAAATTTTTTTTTTGAAAAAATTTTTTGAAAAAAAAATACTTATTAGTTTCACTCTGTCCGTCAGTCCGTCAGTCCGTCTCTCCATCCGTCCGTCTGTAAGTCCGCCTGTCCGCGTGTCTGTTTTCAAAACTTCTACACCCTTAAAGATAAAAAGCTGAAATTTTATACGTATATAGATCTTTACTAAAAACCCTATAGAATTTATATAGAATCACCTTCTAGAAATTATACCCCCCCTCCCCCAAACTATTTATTGCAGTGAAACAATAAGCATTTTTCAAATTTTGCAAACGCAGAAAGGGGCAGTGGCTTGCTTCTTCTATTGTGGCATATACTATAGTTAAACTTTAAAAAAAACTAAATGGCCGTTCAAATTTATCGTTATCTAAAACTCCTTTCTTCCAAATTTTTCATGTCGTTTTTCTTCTTAACCCCACGTTTTAGGAACCTGAAATTTTAGCAGCTTTGGACACTAATACTTTATTTAGTTAGAAGAAAGTTTTTTTCAGTCTCCACCCCCCTCAAGTTATCGCCTACCGAAATTTGTAAAATTTGAATTTTTAACGCCTTATATTTCTGAAACCGCAAGCTTTTTCAAATTTCTATAAACGCAAAAAGCTAACGGTAAATTCCATGACATTAAAAAATATAATTATTTTTCTTAACTCACACAATTAACCTTTAAAATATTGCATTATGTTAACCCCCCTTTATATTAATTTTGCTTTAAAACTTTTGCTTTCAAAAACTGCATAAATCGTTAATCATAAATATATGCAATCCAAGAAATAGTTTCGTTTATGAATGAAAATAATTTTAATGGTATGGTAATTATGCATAGACGGTATTTAAAAGCAGTATTTTCACTTTTTGAAGGGAAAAGTGCTACAATACGAACCATTGGTTTGTTAACCCAACTTTATTTTTATTCTTATTTTATTGCAACTAAGAAAGTGATTTCTTTGTAGCAATTCTTCTGGCTTGAAATTAGGTTTTGGATGCATTATCCATTGATGAGTTCCCAGTTACAAATTCTGTTTTATTGACAGATGAGTTCACGTGTTCCCGTACGGTTAAGACGTTTTGACAGTTGGCCAACGTCCAAAAGTTGCAACATCTTAGAATTGTGAAAAAGTATTTTTGGCGTTAAAATCGCCACCGATCAGAAAGTCCTTTCCAATGTGGACCAGCATTGATTTGAAGTCCTCTACTTTTAAGTCATATCTTGGGGGACAGTAGATGGAGGAAGTCACCAAATCCTTATTCTTAAAATAAATTTTAACTGAAACTGCTTGCATCGTTCGTTTTTTAATACTGATTTGGTTTTGGTGTTTAATATTTTTTTTAACAAAAATTGTTAAGCCGCCGTTGTTTTTGTTATTTGGGTGAACGGCGTTATAGCACTTATAACCATAAATTTCTACGTTAGTTTCTTTGATAAAGTGAGTTTCTCTAACCAAACAAGCGTCAATTTTTTCTCTTTTAAGAAAGAGTTCAAGTTCTTGGATATGTTGCAGAAGACTATCAGCATTCCATGTCACAATTCTTAGAGTTTCCGTCATCTTTTATTTAATCTCGAGTTTATTTTATTTTCTGGTCTATCTAATCTATCAATAAGTTTTCTTTTGGTGACTGTTTGATCTTCAAGTTTTTTGATATCAATTCCAAAATTTCGTCTGTTATAGGTTAAGCGGCTACTTGGGCATAAATTTTGGCTTTCGGTTAAGCGGCTACTTAGGCAAAGTGCTAGCTGCTTTTTCCTCAGCAATTGGCGGTGTTGAAAACACATTGGTGTTCTTTGGTTGGACTTGATGTATTTGAGGAATCCTTAAAGTAGCTTTTGGTTAATGTTTTGATAAGCTCCACCACAATTGAAACATTTTGGTGGAGTGTTGCGATCTCTGTTGCACGCAGAGATATGGTGATTTGCACCACACTTCACGTATTTAGCTTGTTTTTTTACAACAGGACTTGGTATGATTAAATTCTTGGCAACGCGTATACTGTGGTATAGTTTTTGTCATTTTCCTTACTGGTTCAATTTTAACTCTTAGATTGAGAATAGATTAAAAATTATAAATTTTTTGAGTGCCCTGACTTTTGTCAAACGTTAGCATGAACAAGGACAATTTTTTTGTGGTTGACGGCAATTTCTCCTCCATCATTTTCCGAGCTTTTTTTTCATAATGTTGGAGGCATCTTTTATTTCAAAAACTTGTTCTTTAAGATTACTGATGATATCACTTTTTTCACAATATCAGCGTAACCCTCTGGCCAAGACTTTGATCGGTCTATCATTCTTACCTTTGTATGAAACCAATTGGTTCTTATCTTCTGCTAGATTTTTAACTAAAGTGCTAAACTGGAAGGACTTTCAGTTATATCTTATAGGTGAAAATGACAGCGTTTAGCAACTTGCTTAACTTTGGGTAATCAACAATCCCTACAATATTAACTGGAAATGGCCTGTGCATTTACGTTTCATCACTCCTGACTTCTTTATTTGTGCTTCTATTATTCTCGGTATTCGTCAACAAGTCGGATGTAGACGTTTGATTGATTGTGGTTGGTTGCTGGATAACATTTACTTCAGGCGATGATTTTGTTTTCCTCTTTTTACAAGGTGTTTTCTCCCTACGTTTTGTCAAGAGTTCCACCTCCGTAACATATCTCGCAAGATCAAATTTCTTACTTTCTTCTTTTAATGCCGCTCTTGAAATTACGGTAAGTTGGTCGCCTCTTGTTCCTTTGATTCGGGGTTTTGGTGCTTCATTTTCAGACTTAATTTGAATTATTTCTTTCCTCAAGGCAAGAAGAATTCCTTCCATCGACATTAATTTTTTGCACAGCGTTTCATTTTCCTGTTCAAGTAAAGTCCTTCAGCATGACTGGCCGATTCCGATGCTACCATTAATAGAAATAAAAACACCCTAAATAGAAAAAATAAAATTATAAAACCGACGCTATGGTTTTTGCAACATCAAATAAATTATTGTTAAATTGCTTTGCTTTTGTTAATTTTAACTATAGATTACTGTATTTTAATAAAGTAGTATTGGAATGCATGTTTATATTTCTATCGTGTTCTGTTTAGATTTACCAACTAAAACATGTGGATCAACTGGACTTGCGTGTTCTAGGAAGTGCGATTACAATACTTCAAATGGTTGTCAAAAATCTTACCAAGGGTTGCGATTAGTTTTTGATAATGGAAAAGAATGGCATAAAATTTTGTCTTTAAATGATTTGTTTTCTTTGTTTAAGTCTATTGGAGAGAAAACATACATGTTAGTTGCAGGTAACACAGCTCATGGAGTTTACAAACGTAATCCGAACGTAACAGTTTTTATTGATGTTAACTCAATTGAAGAGCTTCATCAATGTGAAACAAATGCCCCCGCCAAAGTTGTTTTGGGAGGCAATCTTAATTTAACTGAAACAATTAAATTATTAAATGAGATATCTTCTAAAAAAGGATATGAATATTGCAAAAATTTGGCAAAACATATCGACTTGATTGCAAATGTTCCTGTAAGAAATGTTGGAACAATAGCTGGAAATATTTCAATTAAATATGCTCACAACGAGTTTCAGTCAGATGTTTATCTGTTATTAAACGCGGTTGATGCTAGTATTGTAATAGCAAAGGAGAATAACAAAGAAGGAGGAGACAGAGCATATACTTTGGAGAATACAAGTCCCGAAAACTTTTTAAAGATTAATATGAACAAACGAGTCATTCACAGCATAGAATTAAAACCTTTAGATCCATCTACAAATATATTTAGATCCTACAAAATAATGCCAAGAGCACAGAATGCTCATGCTTCAGTAAATGCAGCTTTCTTGGTATCTCTAAACGAACATCAGGCTGTGAACAGTATACGAATTTGCTTTGGTGGTATAAATTCAAAGTTTGACAGAGCTTTGTCGCTTGAAACTGAGTTAATAGGTTTGAAATTGTACGAACCAGAAACTTTGGCGAAATCTGTTCAAATACTTGAAAGTTCATTGAGTCCTTGTAATTCGTTGCCGGATCCAAGTCCTCAATATAGAAAAAAGTTAGCTATAGGATTGTTTTATAAATTCCTGTTAAATATTTGCCCTTCCAATAAAATTAAATCAGAATTAAAATCTGGGGGCTCTATTTTAACAAGAGGTTTGAGCTCCGGTATTCAAACGTTTGATACTCACAAAGATAAATGGCCTTTAACTCAACCAATTCAAAAAGTTGAAGGTCTCGTACAATGTTCAGGTGAAGCACAATATTTTAATGATATTCCTCACCAACCTGATGAATTATGGGCTGCTTTCGTTCAAGCTAAAGTTGTTCACTCTAAAATTGAGAAAATTGATGCTACTGCAGCAATGAAATTACCAGGAGTTCACTCATTCATTTCAGCAAAGGACATACCAGGATCAAATAATTTTAGCCCTAAAAATATGATGATGGTTTTTGAGCCTGAAGAAATCTTTTGCTCGGAAAAAGTACTATATTATGGACAACCTTTGGGAATGATTTTAGCTGACACCTTGGACTTAGCTAAGGAAGCTTCTTTGCTTGTGAAAGTCAATTACTCAAAAACAAGTTAGTATATTTTCTAACAATTCAAAACAAAACATTGCTATAATAATATGTTTTAGCTGACCCTGTGTATCCAACAATAAAAGATGTTTTTGATAACAAAGCTTATGAAAGGATTCAGGAAACGCAATTTAAAATTGATCCTAAAATTGAGACAATAGAAAATAGACATATTACTTTAAGTGGCAGGTTTGAAGTTGCTGGGCAGTATCACTTTACGATGGAGCCTCAAACAACAGTCTGTATACCAATAGAAGACGGAATTGATGTATACTGTGCTACTCAATGGATTGATTATGTTCAGGTTGCAATATCGCAAAGCTGCTTACTCCCTGAAAGTAGTATTAATATGCACGTTAGGCGGCTAGGTGGAGCATACGGAGCTAAAATTACACGTTGCACTCAAGTAGCGTGTGCTTGTTCCTTGGGGGCTATTTTAACTAACCGTCCTGTAAGGTTTGTTCTTTCATTAGAGAGTAATATGGAAACATGCGGAAAACGTTTTGGATTGATAAGTGATTATGAAGTAAGCGTCGATAAAAAAGGAAAAATTACAAGATTAATTAATAATTATGCTCAAGATGAAGGATGTTCAATAAATGAGCAACCCATATTTGCTTCAATCGCATTTTTCAAAAACTGTTATAATTCCGATTCTTGGAAAGTCAATAGTAAAATTGCTGTTACCGATTCCGCAAGCAATACTTGGTGCAGATCTCCAGGAACAACAGAAGGTATTGCCATGATTGAAAATATTATGGAACACATAGCTCGTATTACAAATTTGGATCCAATTGAAGTGAGACTGGCAAACATACCTGATGATAATAGAATTAAGGAATTGTTGCCCGATTTTCTGAAATCAAGCGAATATAAAACTAGAAAATCAAATATTGATAAATTTAACAGTGAAAATCGTTGGAAGAAGCGTGGTATTGGCATTGTACCAATGCAATATTCGCAGGATTTCTTTGGAGCTATTCCAGTCATTGTTTCTATTTATCATACAGATGGAACAGTCACTGCAATTCATGGAGGCATCGAATGTGGGCAAGGTATTAACACTAAAATAGTACAAGTAATAGCAAAAACATTGAATATTCCATTGGAATATATCAAAATTAAACCTACGGTAAATTATATGACAGCAAATTCAGGAACAACAGGAGGTAGCATGACCAGCGAAGCTTTATGTTATGTAATGAACTGGTTTATTTGAAATTTGATGTAATTTTCTTAAAAATTTTAATAATTGACAGGCTGCAATGAAGGCGTGTGAAACGCTGTTAGAAAGAATGAGGCCTGTAAGAGAAGAAAAACCCAATGCTAAATGGGAAGAAATAGCTCATGCTTGCTACGAAAAAGCAATAGAGCTTAGTGCAACTCATATGTTTAAAGCAGCTGATGTTTCTGGATATCAAACGTGGGGTGTCAGTTGTGCTGAAGTTGAGGTTGATATTTTGACAGGAAACTTTCAGTTGCTAAGAGTGGATATTTTAGAAGATACTGGCGAAAGTATAAGTCCTTACATTGACGTTGGGCAGATTGAGGGTGCTTTTGTTATGGGCTTGGGTTACTGGTTGTCGGAATCTCTAGTTTACGACAAAAATGGTCAGTTATTAACAAATAGAAGTTGGAATTATAAGCCACCGGGAGCAAGAGATATACCAATTGATTTTCGCATCAATTTCTTAAGAAATTGTCCCAATCCTCTAAGTGTTTTGAGAGCTAAAGGTAATTGATTTTAAAGACTTATACATACTTCAATGTTAAATATGTATTTTTTGGTTTATGTTTATTTTAAGCTACTGGTGAACCTTCTCTATGCATGTCAATCGTTGCGTTGTTCGCTTTAAGATATGCTTTAGATTCAGCAAGAAAAGATGCTGGTTTGAAAAATACAGACTGGTTTAACTTGGGTGCTCCAACTACAATTGAAAATGTACTTCTCGCAACCGGAACTAATTCGGATATGTTTGTGTTTGGATGACTAATGAAAAAGTACATATTATTTCAATTAGTACATTGTACATATTATGCAAATAATGTAGTATAGAAATATATTTTAGTTTTACATTGAACATTGAATCATTGTAAAAAAAACTTCTTAGTCCGCACTTTGTATCAGTCTTGTGGTTTTGTTTTATTTCATGGTTTTTTAAAAAACATATTAGCAACTGCTAATAGAAAATAGATTTCATCAACAGGAGCAGCTCTATTAGATCTGATAACTCGTAAACGAAATAAGCAAGCAAATTTATTTTAAATTTTTTTATTCATTTTTTATGTTATATTATACTCTCCACATTTTTTAAAAGAATAGATGTAGCGGCCCCTTGATAATGTTAAATTTTTCTTTATTTCAATTGTCGTTTCAGTTCTTAATAGTAATTACACTCGTACGAACGACATTTCGAAGTGTGTTATTAATAAACCGTTTGCAACTCTAAGAAATAGACATCTGAGATATAGATATATTATATATTTGATCATCACTGAATTATAAGTAGATCTAGTCTGCCCGTGTAAGTCTGTTCGTCTGTTTTTCTTTTGATCTTTTCATCCTCAGCGTTAATTCAAAATGACATTGAGTTTAGGCTAACCAAATTTTTACAATTCAACTTGTTAATTACATAATTGCTATGATACAAATTTTATTTAATCTTTATTTGGCTGAAGCAGCATTTTATGTACCCACAGCACTCCAAAAAAAAATTATCATTCCTTACAAACCGTTAAGTATAGAGTTACACTAAATTTTACATGAACGACCTTAACAACGGATTAATTGACTTCGACAAAATAAATTATAAAATTAATTATTAAAAAAATATTATATATATACATATATATGTATGTAGCTACTTCTCAGCTGTCAAAAAGTAAGGGTACTTCTAGAAGGGCTAGAGACATAGAAAGAAAGGCATTAGATAGGGTTTTGCCTCCAGGGTCCCACAAAAAGCATTAATTCAACACACTTTCTCCCTTCACTCCCTCCCAAGATGCTTTATGACCGCTTTTTACAAAATGGTACCACATCCTGTAGGGATAATTTTTATTTACTTATTGATAGTATAAGTATTCTATATAAATTGTGTTTTGGAAATGTGAGTTATAACAAGAAGTGAACACTTCCTAAAAAAAATGGTTAAAGTTAATACAATATACATTGTTTTATAATAAGTATGTAGGTTCGTATCTAGTTATGTATTCTTTTCGCGATCTGCTGCATAATGTATTGGTAAGGTACATTATGCATGCAAAACATAAGTGTACATTAAATTTCTTGACAATATATTTTTAGGACAAAAGTTTATAAGAACATGTTATTTTATTGCATTAAATTTTTACAAATAGGGTGATTTCAAAAAAAAATTTAGCGGCGGAAACTTGCTGATATTGATTTGTAACGGTAAAGCTTTTTTAATGTCATTTTAAACAAGAACAAAAAAAATGAAATTATTAATAAAAATAAAGTTCATCTAGCAAATCGCATTTTACAGGGTTTGAACCTGAGACTTTTTGCATTGAAATCGTATGCTATACACATTACCTATATATAGTATTAGTGTTAACTGATTATACTTTCACGCGTTTTATTCGCGTGTATTATAAAATCCAAATATACATATATGTTCATGGATTTAGTAGCGAATTATTTTGTTGTTTATTTATTTTCAAAGGTATTTTACGATTTTATGCGACATAACTCAAATCGAAGTTCTAGGATAAATTACTCAAAAGAGATTAGATCTCAAGGGAACTAATTATTTGTTTAATTATGTACCTTTTCGTATTTATTTTTAAGAGCTTTTCTTATTTTAAGTTTTATTTTAAATTTTAGTAGGAAAACAACATATCTATATGTATATTACAGGTGTGCTTTTAAAGAAAAAAGTAAACTTAAAATATCTCACACACAGAATGGAACGCAATTTCAAAACTATGGGCATAATACTTGCAAGGCTGCACACACGACTAGTGTTATATAAAATAAATTATATAAAACAAAGCAAAACTTGAAACTATGAAGCTTACATTATTCTAATGATAAGATTCGTTGCATAAGTTCTTGCAATAGTAACCGTAGAATTTATAGTAACATTGTACAAGTAAATATTTCACTTTAATATTTTTTACACAATTGCGGACTGTGCTACCGTTATACTGTAGAACTCTCTGACCACCACAAGTTCTTGCAATAGTCCGCCCGTAACCCTTTCGCTATGCAACCCTTGACCCGTATTGCACAGTGTTCCAGGCCGAAATACATGCAATAGAAATCTGTCTGAGAATCAATTTGGAAAGGGGGTATAGAAACCGCACCATCTATGTGTTCTCAGACAGCAGGGCTGCACTGCTGGCGCTCCGTTCAGCTCAGGTTACATCCAAGCTGGTCTGGAGCTGCCTTGCTGCACTTATGGAATTCGCATCGGAAAACAGAGTGATGCTCATTTGGGTGCCGGGCCATAGTGGCCATGCGGGCAACGAAGTTGCCGATGAGTTGGCGCGGAGGGGATCTGGGGCCGCCTTTGTGCAGCCGCTGCCTTTCTGTGGTCAGCCTTCTTCCGCCGTGGGGGCCAGGCTTGCCTGCCTACTCGCGGCGGAATGCAGTCGTCACTGGCGGGACACGAAAGGGTGCCGTCATGCGAAGGTGTTTGTTCCGGCGTGCTCCGGCGGATTCGCTGCGGAGTTGCTGGGGATGAGCAGGAGCCGGGTTCGCACTATTGCGAATTTCTTCTCGGGGCACTGCCCGGTGAAATACCACCTGCACAGGCTGGGGAAGTCGGGCTCCCCCCTGTGCAGATTTTGTGGGGGTGGCGATGAGACCGCCGTGCACATTCTCTGCGACTGTCCGGCACTGGCTATTCGGCGCCGCAATTGTCTTGGACATGGGTCCCTAAGTGTTCGGGAACTATTGTCCAACTCCCTTAGGGATATCGCCGGCTTTGTGATTGGGACGGGGATATTATAGACGGGAGAGTGGGGTGGCTACAATAAGTCAAAAATGGCTGCGGTGGCTTGGGGGGATGCTCCTGTCCCACTCGGTTCCCTTAGAATCTACGAATCTACGAACCGTAGAATTTCATATATAACTTGATCATGTTTCGGAAACCAGAAACTTAGACTCTTAGCAAAGAAACAATTTCGATAAAATTTAATGAAGGCTCTACAAGTCCTAACACAAAAATTGTGATGCGACTTAGAACATAATTTAATCATTATTGAAACTCTATAGTTTTAAAATTCCATTAAAACAAGTAAAGTAATAAGACTAGTGTGAGATTGTCAGCTATAATATTACTCTTACCAAACATTGTTGATACACACTACTGTGGCTACGTTTTTTTTTTTTATCTGTAATTTATAGGTTTTATTAAATAATCAACAATTAAATTAAGTTTTTATGAAATCATTCATACTTTTTGCTGTTATTTGTTTTATTCCCAAAACAACGTGAGAATTAACTAATTAAAAAATGAAAAACATCCTTAAAATGTTTTAAATCCTCGTAATAGTTTATATTATTAAAATACATTGCGTGCTCAAATACCATTTTATTGTGCATTTAATATGTGTGAGCAATACAAGTTGTTAAAAGTTAATTTCAGTGAAGATTAAAGGCAAGTTACTATATCAAGAGTTTGGTGCAGATTATTCTTAAATACTAATATTTCAAAAAACAAAAATATAAAAGGTTAAAATACTTTCTGTAATTTAAAATTTTCATGTATATTAAATACATGACAGTAAAATTATAAACGGAATATAAATAAAACAAAAAAAAAAAACAAAAAAAAATTTATCAACAAATAAATATACACAATTTTATTGTTATGTTTAAATAGATTGTTTGAATAAAATCACAATAAAAGTCAACTAAATTAGGGTTTTCAACTTCGTGGTTTTTCCATGCTAAGCACTTATTTCATTATTTTGAAATAAGTGCTTATTAGTTTCACTCTGTCCGTTCCGTCCGTCTGTGGACATGTTTACAAAATTTCTACACCCTTAAAGATAGAAAGCTGAAATTTAATATATACGAGTACATAGATCTTTACTAGAAACTTATTTTCGTAGAACAAAATTTTTGCTTATTTCCCCCCCTTTAGACCCCGCTTAAACCATAAAAATATCATTTTTTAATTATTAATTGCAGTGAAACCATAAGCATATTTGAAATTTTGCAAACGCAGAAAGTCAGTGGCTTCTTTCCACTAGCGCGGTATACTATAGCTAAACTTTAAAAAAACAAAATGGCCGCTAAAATTTACCGTTTTCTAAGATTCGTTTTTTCCAAATTTTTTATGAAATTTTACGAGCTGTTAGACATTAACAAATAGCTCATTTCGTCGAAAGAAAATTTTTTTCCATCCCCACCCCCTCTCAAGTTGTCGCCTCTTGAAATTTGTAAAATTTGAATTTTTCACGTCTTATATTTCCGGAACCACAAGCTTTTCAAAATTTATAAAAACGCAAAAAACTAACGGTAAACACAACTAACACAATTAAAAATTAAGATCTAGCATAATGTTAACCCCTCTTTAAATTAATTTTTGCTTTATTGCAAAGACTGCATAAATCGTTCATCCTAAATATATGCAATTCTAGGAATAGTTTCGTATATGAATGAAAATAATTTTAATAATGTAGGTATACATAGATTGTATTTTAAATACTTTACACTTGTTGAAGGGAAAAGTGCTACAATACAAACCATTGGTTTGACCCAACTTTATTTTTTTTAAATTATGCTTTGATAATTTCGTCATGTCTTCTCTTTTAAATTAAAGGTGAATTCTAAGAAAGCAAACTAATCAACCGTACAAAAGAAAATATTCGTGAAAAATGTGTATCGTAAACTGTTAAGTTTATTTTTTTGGTGTTAAACAAACAAGTGTTAAAGTATAAAGTTTATGTTACCATCTTTTCTAAATTTTTTCAGGGATTAATATTCAACTTAGAAAAATGGAATTTTGCACATTCATTACTTGTTTTGCATAAATAGGCTGATATAACAGAGAGAAAATTTTAAGTACCCATAAAAAAATGTATTGTAATAGAAATATATATTGGAGAT